GTCTGCTGATGTACTTTCCTGTGAGGTGTCGGTGGTGGAGTGGTCTGTGCCTCTCTGGAGGTCTTACTTGGGGACGGCACTCTGGCGAGAGCTTCTATGCTCTTGTCCTGTTTATCACAATGAGGCTACAAATCTTAACTGATTGATTAATGATTACATTTCCATGTGATTAAAATAGTAGATGAGAAATAAAAAGGTTTGCTTTTAGAAGCAGGGATTTGTTGCAGCAAGTTGACAGTGTTCGCTTTTTGCAGTTTTTCCTGAGTGCTTGCACGTAGGGCAGGCTTTGTTGTGAGTGGAAGTGGATTTAGAAATCTCATTGTACTGATTGTTTGATTTAAATGTTGAAACTGCACTGTAAACACAATTGAAGTGTTTGTTAAGAGCAAAGAACCTGTCATCTGGGACAGCCGGAGGTCGGTGGGAGAGAAGGCAGAAAATGGGAACTTGTCATCCTTATGAATTTAGGCTATTTTGGTACAGTATCTGGATTTAAGGTTGAGAGACAGGGAACTGTTGAAATTGCACCATATTCTGTGTCTATGTACTTAGATCACATGCGACAGTCCTACTGCACATGATAGCCCCACAACACTGGTGTTACTGTTCCCAACTCTTCTTTGGATAGACTGCTATAATTATTTCTGGTAATATAGCCAGAGGTAAGAACTGCAATTTGCTAACAGTTTATGAAGGCAGGCAACACACTCTTGAGTGCCACTTAACTTCCTTTAATTTTATATGTCTGTCTCCAGTAGTTCATGTGTTTGGATCTTAGAGATTCTGTGTTAGGTAGAAGCAGGGAACAAAGTTATCTCTCTGCACGCAGGTGTTCCCACTTAGGATCTGAAAGTGGTCATGGGAAAAAGGTGACACTAGTAACTTCTAACTGAACACAACTGTGATGCTTCCTTCTTTCTCAACATTCAGTATAATGTGAAATTTTGCCAGATGTGTGTTGAGATTAAAAGAACAAGGTTTGGGTTGGAATGCCATGGGATGGAATGTATATTTCTACTTATTAATGAGTACGTGCACATATATTATCTGTGTATCTATATACATTAAGATTCCAAAGATTGCTCTTATTTTCATAACTTAATTTCACATCAGTTTTGTTACCTCTGGAGTTACCTCTTCTTTACATATCTGAAATAGTTTGTTGGGGATATTTTCTGTGGGCAGGATCTTTGGGTCAGTGGTATCTTGCACAGCTGTAAAATTCTGATCCACAAACTGCAGTCATTAAAAGAGACGGATTTTTAAAGGTTGTGGATTTTTCGGACATTTTGCAAATACTTGTGACAGAGGTGCTGCGTTACCAGACTACGCCAGGGGGCGTAATGGTGAAGTGAACTGCCCAGAGATGAAACCAAACAGACACTGTTGTAGTGTTGAAAGTATTATTTACATTAAAGTCCATATATACAGGGTAAATACAGCTTCTCTTGGTCTTTATACAGTCCTGGTCATTCACAGTAGTTCTTCAGTTAGCAATGGTAAATTTACAGTTTCAGTAACCACAGATTGTTACCAATGTAAATAGTCCTGCATCCACGAAGTCTTCTCCTCTCACCACAGAGATAGTCTTCTCCCAGGATCTTCTCCTTGCAATATGGCAAGTCTTCATCCAGCGATGCAGTATATACAGCTCTCAGCAACAAGATCACCAGCAACACAACAACCATACACTCCAACTACCCAACAACCCAAACTACCCAACAGTTTGTCTCTGCAAGCTTGGCTAGCTTTATTCTTGGATTCTCCAATCAAATTGGTTGTCCCACAGCTGCCTCAATTAACTCAGCTGTGTTCCTTTGTAACATGTTGCTCTCTAAATCCTGATCCTGTTACAACTTATTCACTGAATTGCAATGAACAATTCCCTAGGTTGACTTTGAGACCTGACAACTTGGCTTGAACGTCGTCTAGTCTAGTTTCTGTAGAAGCGGAGAAGAAACCATTCGCTATATGCCAGATAACGGTGAAGACTGAAATGTAACACAACAGTCCTGTTGTCTTCTGCAGTCTTTTGTTTGAACATCACACCAAAATGACTTGGTCCATGAGAACCTTGCGGTGTGAATGGCCTCAGGCACTTGGGGTTGATGGTCCGTTTGAGGTGGGATCTCACTGCTGGTCGATTTCTTATGCGAAATATTATAGGGTTTCTGTTTGGTGATTTGGAGTTTTGGCTGTGGTGCTGGTGTTCGAATGGAAGAACCAAGCTTTGATGAATGAATTATCTACTAATAAAGAAGCCAGGGCAGCTGGTCAGTTCCCGGTCCCTTTCCCTGGGCACTGCATGTAACAGAAAGGTGGTGATTTACTTAGTTCAACTTCCCCCCATATTCCTCCAAAATGGGGAGGGAGTATTGATAGGTTGCCAAAGCAGAACACATTCTAAAGTTTGTCAAGGTGGGCAAATAATTGACAACCTGGTGTTGAAGTTTTCCTGTGATTGACCCTTGATTGATTGATTGCTTGAACTTGTATGCCGCCCATCTAGACATAGTCTACTCTGGGCAGCTCACAGAACACAAAATAAAACAATAGAAATAAATTAGCAGTTAACAACACATAGATGGTATGTTTTGATTTAGTTAGGGGAGTGCCCCTCTTGGCTGGTGCAGCTGAAGAATAGTTAGAACTTGAATCAACATTCAAGCATAGATTCATTGGCATTGCTTAGAAGCATTCTGCCACGCTATTTGCACAGTGAGAGTTGGTCAGCTGTACCAATTTCTGGGTAAAGTTATTTGACAGAAGGGTGGGTTGTGCAAGATAATTTTTCTCCTTAGGCAAGGTCTGTATGCACTACCCTTTGTTTGCTATCAGTTACCAGCATGGCACCAGCTGAACTGTTACACTGGTGCACTTTGCGCATTTAGATTACAAGGGGTCTGTAGCTTTTGAAAGGTCAGACCTTAGAAAAAATAAAACCAGATTAGGTATCTGAACCTGTAATAGGTAATGTGCATTTCTGTTCTGAATTGTTTCATGACTCTTTCAGCATTCAGCCTCTTCTGTTATAAGTAAAAAGAGACAGCTGTTCTCCTTTACATGCATAGGATCAGGATAATTTCAGGAACATCCTGTTGTGAATATTGGTAAAATGAGAGTACACCTCATAACCATACCACTGCTTGTGCAAAATTGCCATAAATATCATATCACTCATTTCTAGACCTTGTATTCCAATTCTAACTGGTGTAGTGTAACTAAAGAAGTGCATGAGATTACACCAGTTTTGCAGGTTGGCAAACTGGAAGAGTCATGACCAGTTTGATGTCCTCAGAGGAGATGTATCTATGGCCTTTTCTACTAATATTGTAGTTTTCAGACCCTTCCCATCACATAGCTTAATTTGGTAGCTTGGTTGGGAATACAGTATGTACGTGGCTCCTAATGAAGTGGATTCTGCTTTGCCCAGTGGTTTTCCTTTGGTCCCTTTTGTCTAAATCAGGTTTCTTCAACCTGTTGCTGTGAAAATCATGCTCAAGAAACATGGCCCCTATCAAGAAAAACAGGTTGGGCGATGTTGTTTTATGCTCTATTAAAGACTCACAGCCCAGCAGGCAGCATCACATGCCCACACTTCTTCCCCCAAACTGATGAGTCTGCTTTGGCAACCCCTGTTTCTCTTTTACTCACATAGTCTGTGGGAAGCTAGCTCTAAAGCATGGAAACATATGTTAATGCTCCATTTGCAGTGGGCAAGCATCAGTTGCACTTCAGTATGTGTGGTATGTGGGATCTCAATATGTGATGTGTGAAGCAGTAGCTCCCTTTAGTTGTCCTTGATTGCTCAACTTCATCGGATGAACCTAGTGTTACATACAGCACTGATGTTACCTGTCTGTCATGGGTGTGGAGGGAAAGTTCCATCCTATGGGGAGTGGAAGGCGGGACATCAGGAGGAGGGGCTGTACTGTATATATATGTGATGCGTGTGTGGAGAAAGGAGACGCTGGGATGTGACGAAGCAGCAGCTGGGAAGAAGAAGCTGGTGTGGGAGTCTGTGTGTCAGACAGGGTACTACTGTGTGTCAGAGTACCAACCTGATAGGTTCAGGTGTCTGTTGGTTAGCCAGAACTGATAGGTTCAGGGTCTGTGCTTCAAGTTAAGGGTTCTGTGTGAACCAAACTGTATGCATGTATGAATGAGAATAAGCCACGTTACTTTATCTTATTCACCTGATCGTTTTATATTTTCCTGTGTGTTGTATTTAAATAAACCTTATTCTTTTTATTGGTTGAAAATCCATCCCTGGTCTGTGTGACTTCTTATAGGGAATGGTTGGTGGCAGCTTAGTTAAAGTGTGGCAGATCCCAGTAGGTCTGGGTTTGTCACACCTAGGTTTTAGAATTATGAGGAAGAGGGAATGATATCCTTGTTCATGCCTATCATTTATTGTTGTTATGCACCACCAAGTCACTTTTGACCTCTGGAGGTCCTATACCTCTTTGAATGGCAGCTACTGGGCAACAGTCCTAGTGGACAGTGGCACTGGGCAGAGGATGTTTGACAGACTACAGCAATGACACTCAGTTTGACCAGTGTCAGTACTGCACAGAATGGTGGCAAAACACTTCTCAATATTTTATACGTCAAAAACCCTATGGTGAGACAATCCAAAATGAAATGTCTGTACAGTACATCATTTTAATACACATTTAATAATCCTGTATCATTTTTATACGTTCCTCTTATCAACCTTTCCCCCAAGCCAAATAGCCCCATTCATTATAGGTTTTCATCATAGTTAAGTTGCCTTTGTGGCTCTTGTGATTATTCTCCTCTCCCCATCTCTAATATATGCTTGCTTTTCAGGCCACATTGACCAAACGTTTGCACAGTAATTTGAAAGTTGGTGTGACACAGATTTGTATAAAGGCAATATAATGTCAGCAATTTTATTTTCACTTTCTTTTGATATGACTTTGGAAGAATGAATATTAAATCATGAGGGACGTTACATGTTTGATTTCTCTTTGCAGGCTTACCGGGTCTTCAGGGTATATTACAGATGGACCTGGGAACTATAAATACAAAACAAAATGCACGTGGCTTATTCAGGGAAGGTGAGTTGCAGGTGTCTTAATTTTTTGTAAGACGAGTTTGGTGACCGTCTTTTGCCTCCATGTAATTAAATCTCAGTGATACAGAACTTTTTGATGCTGTACAGTTCCTAAATTGGAAATATGTAACTCTAATTGTTAGTCTCAACTCAAGAAGAAGAAGGAATGAACAAGACATGTTCTCTCAGTTCCATTGACCACGATCCTGTTTATATCAGCATAACTTTACATTTCCTTTTACAAGGAATTGTTCAGTGCAAGACTGGCAGAAGTGCTGTTCGGACAGCATTTCTGCCTCATTCCCCTTGCAACTACAGTGGGTGAAATGTTGAGCTGCACATGCATAGTTGCACAGTAAGATTTTGGCCATTAATTTAAGGGATTGATTCTAGTATGGACTAATGACTGGATTTAGACCTTTGTTCCTCAATAATGTCTGTTGAAATTGGGTTTAATATGTTCATTCCAGTGATATTACTTGCACTGTTGTTATTTGATGTGTTATTGTGTAAGAAATTTTACCTACATGAGCACCAGTTGGTGGACCACACAAAAGGCCAAATCCTTTCACCCTTTACTTGTATGGACCAGGCTTTCTGGACTGTTGGAACAAATGCCACTAATATATTGACCACAAGGAATGAGCCAAGAGAATTCTATCCCAGAGAATCTTTACCACCAGTAGTCCCCTCGTCCCAATTATTGCTCAACATTAAGAAAAGCAACGGAAGATCAGTGGGAAAAAATATGGACATCTGGTGACAAAATGGGAAAAAAATTGATAGCAGGGGGGCGTTCAGGACGCTATACCATGATCCTGACAAGACATTCTGGTGTTTCCCATGATTTCTCTCTCTTAACTGTTCTTCTCTTTGGTTTTGGGAAAGAGACAACATAATTAACCACTTTCCACCAGGCTTAAACTTTGGACTCTTAGCCTAACTGTCCACTTTTCTTTGTGCCCAGATCGAGTGAAGCTGTAAAGCTGCTCAAAGTTTCCTCCTATGCATGAAAAATCAGTTTCCCCCCAAGAAATGTTGAACCCCTGTGATCCTGTCCCAGATTCACATTGACACAGACAAGCCTTCCGAGGAACTGCTGACCTTTTACAAAAGGTCCTTCAAACGATGAAAAGGAGCTTTTGTGAACTATGTGGATATTTCATCTCTCCCAGCTGCTTTTCAGGGCTCCTTCTAAAGGATTTTAAAAAAAACCAGAATGGCACTCCTATTGTCCATTATTCTAAAGGAGACTTATGGCTATCTTCACTAATGTTATATTGTGGAAGATTTTTAGGCTGGGCATTGTTAAACCCATTGTGTATTTTTGAGATGCTTAGATAGTGACCCACTTGTTACACTAGGCGCAAGAGGATTGTATTGAATAAGATGCAACATACAATATGTCTGAATGACATACAACTCTCTCCTGAAAAGTAACTATCTCTTTTGAAGAGGGATCCCCTTTGATGTTAATGGTGCTGGAGAGTTGTACGATATATAGATCGTGAGGATTGCTCAGGTGATCCTTCCTATGAAAGAAGAGACCATACCTGAATGTGAACTGTAATGCTAACTTGAGTTTAAGATACGGTGTTTTACTGGTAGTGTCTCATGGTGTATCCAGTACAGTACTGTGCTATTTCTGAATACAGACAGGAAATTGCTGATTGGACTGGGTGTATGTTGTTGTTCTTTGAAAGCATTTAACTATGCAGTGCTGCTCCAACTGCAGTCTGGAAAGGCTCAATACTAGAGATGGGGGTATTCGTGTTCATATACAAATACAGTGGTGCCCCGTATAGCGAGGTTAATCCGTTCCGGATTAACCTTCGCTATACGAAAACATCGCTGTGCGGGTAAGGAAAGCCTATTGGAACGCATTAAACTTAGTTTAATGCGTTCCAATAAGCTTCGAAACTTACCCCTCCAGCGATGTTTTTTTTAATGGCCGCGGATGACCCAAAATGCCCCCCCGCAGCGTTTTCGCGACCTCCGTAAGCAAGGGGAGGGCGCGAAAACACTGATAGGGGCCATTTCGGGTCA